GACAGAGTCCCGAGCCTCGCTCAGACAGACCTGCCGTTACACACCGTCGGGTCACTAGCGCAGTGCGGAGACCGCAAAGGGCATGTCCATAAGATATCTGCCAAAGGACCCCGCACCTGCCCATTGCCATAAACGAAATGGTCTTTGAGACAATACAGACCAGACAGCACAGGCCCGGCTAATGTTTTATTATTATTTCTTACAAGCATTTCCTGGGCCTTTGCACAGCAGGAAAACGAATACCAGCTGCGAATGCTTGTTCCCCAAAGCCTCTATCAAATTGCTGCTGAAAACACTTCGGCTGCTAGTGCTGAATGGACAAAATCATTTTCAACTGCACTGCAGAAAGTGGGATAGATACCATACGCTTTAAAGGACAGAGGTAGGGAAGGACTAGCAGCTACCTGAATGCTACAATAGTAGGACTAGGTACCAGCTACATCCACTGGTGGAAACCCAACCACGTGAGGCACTTAAAACTAGACTGGACAAAGCACCCCTGAAATATACTGTAGGGAATAACCCAGTACTGGCCTGAGTAACGGACTAGACTGGAGCCAGTAAAACTCTGCCAGCTCAACTTACTGTCATTTGAAATAATCTGCATGGCTCTAAGTGGAACCAAGAGTGAAGAAAAGAAAATTCCTACAGAATTCAAAGAGTGAACAGTCTGAGAACTCTGTCATCGCAAGTGACTGACGAGGGCACCCAGGCTCCAGGCAGTAGTTGGACAATAGCACCAAGGGGACTGTAGGTTAAAATTCAGTCTCAGCAACAGATGAGCTGAGTTTGGGGGTCTCAGTCTATTGCCCGAAGAGCCTATGTCTATTCTGTTATTTTTAATAGAGCATCATGGCCAGCTGCCTGCCCTGGGCTGCTGACAGTTTTACTCAGGGTAACAGAGAACAAAGGGCAATGGTCCATATCTCAGCCCCACAGAGTGGATGGTGTCTGCTCTGAGATGGAGGAATCAAACAGAAGGGGCATGGCTGGAATGCAACTCTGAGGTGTGATGCCCTATAGCGGTGGCACTCAGTCAGGGGTACGCGTACCCATGTGGGTACACAGAGGTCTTTCAGGGGGAACAGCAACACATCTAGATATTTGCTTAGTTTTATAACAAGCTACATAAAAAGCACTAGTGAAGCCAGTACAAACTAAAATTTCATACAGACAATGATGTGTTTATACTGTTCTATATACTATACACTGAAATGTAAGTACAATATTTATATTCCAATGGATTTTTTTATAATCATATTGTAAAAATGAGAAGGTAAGCAATTGTACAGTAATACTGTGCTTTGACACTTATATTTTTATGTCTGATTTTGTAAGCAAGTAGTTTTTAAGTGAGGTGGAACTTGGGGGTACACCAGCTAAATCAGACTCCTGAAAGGGGTATAGGAGTCTGGAAAGGTTGAGAGCTACAACCCTGTAGGGCTGGGGGAGGGCAGTGGGAGGATGCACCAACAGGCCCTGTGCCCTGAAGCCAGAGCTGTCAGTCAGTCTCACTTACATGAGAAACATAATTCTCCAAATTTGTTCTCCATCTCACATAACTGCAACAGAACCAAGAAATTTACTTCCAACCTCTTTGCCCCTAAGCCACCAGACGTGCTTCCAAGAGAGCTGGGAACTAAACAGGCTTCTCATAGCCTCTCTCCTGACTTATTTTAGTCACTTAACCTGAATCCATCAACACTTGCCCCATCTTATCCCATAGCACTTACGGGCTCCCTAGGGTTACAACCAACACATTCAGACCAGAGGCGCACAAAGAAGAATATTTCCCCCACCCCGTTTCCCCACTGGTTCTAAAAACAGAGATGGAGTCCGCACAGCCAACTAAGGAAAGTTCAGAAACTTTTCTCTAGGGAAGCTTTTGCATCTTTGAATCCTGAGTCACGTTTATGAAAGCGTTGGCACAAAACTAGTTCCACAGTTATCTACTGCTAGAGTCACATTTCATTCTAACATACTCCAATTCAAACAGAAAGTGATGTGGAAAAGAGCATGAAAGTTGTGGCTATAAGGCCTAAGATTCCAGTGTCTGCTAAAAAAGACTTACATATGTACAGAGACTGGTGATTTATACCAGTGCAATGTGGAAATTGGGCCCTATTTGCTGTTATAAAAACCTCCTGAATTAAACTAATTGTAGAACAAAGTTAAGTTACATACTTACATTTTTTATTTTGTGCATAGCTGGATGCTTGGCACAAACTAATTCCTGATTTTATATTTACAAGTTGGTTCCTTCCTGCGGTATTTTATTTTAAAAGTAATTGCAGGAAGCCTTTAACAGAAAGCTATATTTCTCAACTGCATGAGGTGGAGGCAGGAAATATATAAAATATTTAAAAGTTTCACCTTTTTCACATTATTCATAATTCTTAAATTTGTCAGTTATCCCTTGCACTGTTCAAAGATATGTCTGTAGTTTAGAATTGTCTAAATCTGATACAAAAATGCTAGCAGATAGCTCCACATACACAGACATTAGATAATAACTGATTATCAAACACGTCAGCGAATGCGAGTACGGAGAACAAATAATAGCCTGCTTGAGAGGGGAGCTCTCCTCAGGGAAATTGGGACTTAAATCCTCAGCCTGCAATTTGTTTGTTTCATTTACAAATTTACAGCATCTCAGATTAGCTGAAGAGCCACTTCACCATACACATACAGTCTAAGGAACGGAACCTGGATTGTTAAAGCATGTGCACAATCTCAACTAGGGCTCCAATTGGACTCTGACTAGACTCAGTGAGCTAGATTTAAAATACTAGCAGTTTGGCAGTTTCCAGGAGAACTGTGCCCGCAGAAACAGCATTTCACTTTTTTACAAATAAATACTATCATTTTTGTTATAGTCGGTCATTTCTTATAATGCAGGTGGTCTATAAATAACTGGGAAGCTCAAGATTTCTCTTTAGTTTTGCGCTGGAAGTCAGATCTTATGAAAGACAAAGAGGTGGTGGGAATGGAAAGTCCATAGGGTTTGGTATGGTGCAGGCAGCTTCACAGACTTATCATGGATGGTCTTCTCTTCGCTCCCTAATATATACTGTATCTAATGCTTTCCTTGGCAGGGGAAGGGAAATGTCTACCCCAGTCCACCAACTCCTCCCTGCAAAAAAATCTCATTTTCCCATCTACAAATATTCAATAATCAAATATAACAACTCTGCATTTTCATCCAAAGATGACACAGCACTTTACAAACACTTATTGCCTGGGTAAAGTGGGTCCATATTATCACCCATGACTGGGAGTGTAGTCCTACAGTTATACCGTGCAACCAAGTATCAGGAGACCTGGAGTCTGTTCCTTGCTGTGCGACCTGGAGCAAGTCTCCGAGATGCTCCATGCCTCAAAAGGGGAATTGCAATACATACTTCACAGAGGTTCATTCATCACTGTCAGTAAAGTGCTTTGAGATCCTGGAATGGCAGGTTACTATAGAAGTGAAAAGGATTAACATTTATTATGAATTTGCAAGTGGGGAAGCTGGAGATCAGAGAGGTGAATTGGCTTGTCCAAGGTCACACAGAAAGCCGGTGACAAAAGCTGGGAAACAGAATCCAGAAGTTCTTTCTTCCAGTCCAGCACTCTAACCATTAGGCAGCTTTCCACAACTTTCACCCAACGTATGCCCAGGCAGAGAACCATCATTTCTTCACTAAATTTTTTTGTGGTTTGCATTACTATCTAATGAAATCTTATCTCTGTCCATAGCAGTGAGACCTTGATGTGGCCTCTCCTTCCCCTCTAGTAATTTCACAAATTAGTTACTGCAGGGCTTACTTATGGAACATTGCACAAGAGATTCTGTGCAAGCTCTTCCAATTTTAATGGTGTCAAACTTAAAACAACTATCAGAGAGCAGAAGGCCCAGAATTGAAACTCCACCAGAACCCAAGTCTGACATGAAGTCCTTTTACTAACACCTCCACAGGTTTTGAGAGTTAAAAGAACTTCTTTCATAATCTGAGTGTATGAAGGGTGTTTACATAGATGGACTTCAAGCAAATCCTCCTCTTTTTCCCTTGTAGCATGAACACAATGGGTATTATAATCCTGGAGTGGCCTCCAGATGATATTTTGTGTCCATGAAGTCTGCATTCCTGAACATTGCCTGATCAAAAGGTCTTCTCACTTTGGTTTTAACTGAATAGAAAACATTTTTTTTAAATAAAAGCCAATTTTTTGTATTCCACTGACAAATTTTTGTTTAAAAAAATCCTGCTTTTGCAGGAGTATATTTTCTTGTTGTGGTAGAATTAGGGGAAAGATTGCTGCTCAGATTACCATATGTATTTAGGATATTATTATTAAATATTTGTTAAGTACCAACAACATACTAGGGGCTTTCTGAGACACAAGAGTACTTCTTCAGCTAATAAATAAATTAAACAAACATTTTAACTCTTTCAGAGGACAGGCCGCTGGTAGCGTTACAGTTAAAGCAAATACAAAAGACCACTTAGAATTAGTTGCAATTTAAATTAATTGGGCTAATAGAGATTTTATAATTTCCCTTCAGTGCTGAAGTCAAAAGGCAAAACAGTTTAGACAACAAAACTAAATACACAGTTTAGAGACACAAAGAAATTCCAAGACAACCTCCTCAGAGCACTAGCTTTTCTGAATTAGCAGAAGAGCATTTTGCTCCCAAAACTGAAGGCAACATTCCATTGTTTATTAAAGAAATCATCAGTGTTTTGGCAACTAACAAAGATAAGTGACAAATTAACACAAAATCCCAGCAGTTGCCAGCAGACACTGAAAATGGGCCAAGGGCGAAGTTCCATTCATAAGCAAATACCCAGCACAATAGTGTGATTCATAATCCTTGACTTACACAAGACCAGAGTTTGGCCAGGCTGAAAAATATATTTAATGTTTGGAACTAGGCAAACTAAGTAAAGGAAGAACAGAGCAAACACCAAAGACAAACAAATGAGAGACAAACAAAAAGAGGAATGGGTGCCTACCTTCTGTCAGCCAAGTCTCCTGAAACTGGCTCAAATCCTGGAAGAGGTCTGCAAGAAAAGTGAAAGGTGCCTTTACTGAAGGCTGGCCTGGGCTGGACTGACAGCAGGATGCTCCAGGGTTGGTGATGTGGGATGGGAAAGAAACACAAACTCTGCGGGGAAATAGGGGAGTGAAGCAGAGGGAGGGGAGGGTCTGGTCCCTATCTACTCCCTACCCATGAGTCCTGTCCCTCCCCCTGCTACCTCCACCCACTGTCCCCCATGAGCCCTGCCTCCCCCCCCACCCCCACTGCCCGTGGGGTGCTGCAACTGCCTTTACCTTCCGAGTCCTGAGGGGGTGCTAAGCCTGGGTCCATGGGTCTCCTGGTGCCCATCAGAGCTCGGCTGCTGAGGGTCCCATTTCCGGGCGGTTTCTGAAGAAAAGGACAAACCAGCTTGGGAAAGTCATGTCAGGACTGGGCCCTGGGCCACCTCCCCCCGGGGCTGAGAGCTGGGCGCTGTCTGCAGCCTCGGCCCTGCGGTTCTAGCGCTACTCACGTGTGTGAAAGTGTAAGGCACTTGCTGGTCCAAGTACCCTTTCATCCTCCCGTCCATACGTTAGCTCCTCGTGGGCATGGAGCAGCCAGCTCAGCGCAGCGACCTGCGGGAGACGGGCAGAGGGAGCCTGTTTCACAAGGGCTGGGGGGCAAACAGGGCGCGCCCCTTAGTCTCGGCTGCACCTGCTTTAGCCCACCACGTCCCAGGCTGGGCCTCGTGGCATCTCCCATCCCCGCGCCCCCCCCCCCCCCACGGGCTTGTCCTAGCTACAGGAGCGGGGCTCGAAGATTCAGCCCCTTCCTAAAACGACCCTGGGGGCAGGTTACCAGCAGCAGCCCCACCGCCCCCTCCCTGCTCCCCGGCTGCAGCGCTGGGTGTGAGGTGCAACGAGACGTCGTTCGTGCTGCATCTGGCAAAACTTGTGCGAAGAGGTGGGGTGATGCCTCGCTCCCCAGTGGGAACTGCCACCCTGCACCCCCGCCCAGTCCCCCCGGGCTCTCACCTGCGGCGGGGCTCCCGGAGCGGCTCAGCCCCGAGGGCTGTGCGTGCAGATGTTCCCCCAGTCCCGCTCCCAGGGAAAGGGCTCGCTTTGCTGGCGGCTCAGACAGTGTGCCCGGGGGGAGCCTCCCATTGGTGCATTTCCTCCTTCCCAGGCTCTGCTTTCTTGCTTCTTTGTTTCATTGACTTTGTGAATGAAGCCCCGGGCTGGGACACGCCCGCCAATCACAGCTCGGCTTGGCCCTCACCCAGAGCAGAACGGGGAGAGGCTACGGCTTCCAGGGCCAATCAGATCGCGTCACTCTGGGATTCATTCAAGGCTGGGGCTCCCATTCATAAAAAAACTCCCAAAGTTCATTCATAAAGGTCTGCAAGGGACGGGGAGCCAGAGCTGGGCTAAGCTGAGTTTTGTGCATGGCACGGCGCGTGCACGGCTCACACCATCAGACTCCCTCAGGACATACACACATCCAGGCTTGCCAACTCACACTCAACGTGGGGGTCATTTTAAAGCAGCTTTTAAAGTATCTACACTCCTGTTATGAAGGATTTTTTTTTAAAGTTTCAGTGAGACTTTGAAAATATCACTCGCATTTATCACTCCTTCTGTCCCGTTGTACCAGCTAGGCGCCCGTGGCTTTCAATACCAATTTCTTTGGTATAACTACTTAGTGCCAATAAAATAAAATAAAATAAAATTCCAGTCCCTGAGTTTGCACACCCAGAAATAAACACCTGCATGTACAGTCAACATTTGTGTGTGCAAACCAGGTGCTCCATCTCTTGCATTTACCTGTTCAAATGTCATTTGCATATCCAAATAAATGTTTTTCATAAACCTATGTGGACTCAAGTTTTTAAATTTCTCCTTAGAGTTCCATGGGGCCATGGACTCAGTTACAAGAAGATATTGTTCTGGGGGAAATTATCCCCTAGACAAAGATTGATACTGGAGAGAGAGTCAAGAAAGAAAGAAAGAAAAAGGTGTGAGTCTTTACACGAAAACTAGGCATAATGACATGTTCTGCACATCACAGATATCAATGTGGAACCTCAGTATGGTAGATTGGAGTAAGACATTCTCTCTCTCTCTCTCTGGTATGTGGATGTCTCAGACTGTTATTTGGCATAACAGTCAATTAAACATTTTTGAACCCTTCTGCCAAATCAGGCTGTAGCTTTATCTGAAAACATAGCTCAATCACAGTTCAACACTGTCTGCACAGACAAGACTGAACAATGTTTTAACTCTATCATGCAATTAACATCTTTCAGCATAGTTCCTCCCCTCTTCCCCACAACCATGGCAGCTGGGTAGTTTAGCTGGGACTCAGTCCTCAATGCAGGAGATTACCTTGTTGAGATTGCAGCTCAGGCAAATTGCCTGGATATTGTTCGTTTCCATGAATTTTTAGATATTTTGTGACCTCCAGAACAACAAACAGGCTATAAATATTAATCTGTGTTTAATAGTCAGGATGAGACTGAATGGGAAGAACCTCCCAGTTAGGTTATTGTTGATCTATCTGTTCCATTTCTGCTTAAAATAATTAATTAACACCAAATACTCATGCTATAATTCACTCTCACTTGTGCAGACTGCTGTAAAACAACAACTTGACTTTTACTGGTGGCACATTTCCTGGGTGAGAGATAATGGAGCCTTTGTTATTTCAGCTCTGATTTCAACATATGGTTACACTCTGACCTCTAAACCGGATGGGATTTTCTACTGCAATATTTATTTACTTTACAATGTTTTAATTTCCCACCCAGCTGGCAGTAGCAATATTGCAGAAGGAAGAAGAGGCCTCAGTAAACATCTTCTTTTTACTTTCCATACCTCTGAACAATACAAACGGCCCTCCTAGCAATCTTTACTGTATTACACTCACTCTCTCTCTCACACACCCACCCACCCACACGCGTTACTGTGTTAACATCAGAGACTCCAAGGCTCTAATAGTGACAAATGGAGCTGCCCCAGCCTTTTACCTTCAAATACGCAGCCTGTCATTCACCTCCCCAATTTCATACTCTTCTCCTAATACCTGAAAGGGTTAATTGCAACAGACATTTCATATCAAAAGAAAAATTCATGCACCCCTATCAAAGCCACCTCCAACTCATCGAGCTGCAAAATGCATACCTGATCTGTTGGTTAGGGCAGTCATTACTCCCCTGTACCATTGACTGTGAGACTGACTGGCCTTGATCACATCAGCCCCATGAGCCATTGGCTCAGGAGAACTATCAAAAGGAGTACAGAAGACTAGGGGTTTCCCCCACAGTCATTCATATGTGTTAGCTTGTGAGCTGTTTGGGGGCAGCGACCATCATTTAACATGTGTTGTACAGCACCTAGCACAATGGTGTCCTGATGCGTCTGAGGCATCCAGGCATGACTGCAATATAAATGATAGATGAGACTCTTTCTGAGGAAACGGGGTGGAGATTGCATCCATTCAGGTCCAGTGTGTGGACTCTTCATTTGAGCCATCACAGCATTCTGGTGAGACAGGATAACCATGCCCTGGTCCTGGTCGAATGACCTTGTAGAATGACCTTCCTCCAGGCCAAAGGTCAGCAGCAGAAGCCAAGGTGTGAATGTCAGCTCCCAGCAATCCAGGCACCTGAATGAAGTATGAGCCTCAAAGCTCAGAACCCCAACTGCTGTGCAGATCATCTGGCAAGAGAGGGCTTTGCAAAGACCAGCTTTTTAGGCCTTGTCTACATGGGAAAGTTTCACTAGTTATGCCAATATAATTATACCAGTATAATTCCACTACCCCCACCCCATGGGAACACTCTTATTCCAGTATAAAATTTCTGTTTCGTTTAAACCTTTTCCCAAGCAACAAAAGCTAAACTAAAAATAGTCATACCAGAATAAGAGTGTCCACACAGGGAATTATACCAGTATAACCATACCATCTTAAATTCACACCTTAGCTTACACCAGTACGACTTTTCTGAGCAGCCAAGCCCTTATTACAGTGTCTGGAAGGGGAATCATAGAATCATAGAATCATAGAATATCAGGGTTGGAAGGGACCCCTGAAGGTCATCTAGTCCAACCCCCTGCTCGAAGCAGGACCAATTCCCAGTTAAATCATCCCAGCCAGGGCTTTGTCAAGTCTGAAGACTGAAGCCAGTCGTAAGAGCCTATTACAGTGGGAAAACAATCGTGTCAGTGCCTTGTTACAACGCATTTTGCTTTGGCGCTTCAGCTGGAACCAAGCTGTATTATTGATACTACAGAATTAGTCCTACACATTGTTAAGAATCACAGAATCTCAGGGTTGGAAGGGACCTCAGGAGGTCATCTAGTCCCACCCCCTGCCCAGAGCAGGACTGATCCCCAACTAAATCATCCCAGCCAGGGCTTTGTCAAGCCTGACCTTAATTAAGGCTTTAAGAATTATTTCTGCTACAGTACTAGTGTAAGCATGGCAGTAATACAAGTCAGGGACAGGATGAGGTTCCTAGGAAGGATGGTCCTGTGATTACTGCACTGGGCTAGGACTCAGGAGCTCTGGGATCCATTTCCAGCTCTACCACCTTGGGCCAGTCACTTAATCTTTCCATGCCTCTAAAATGGGGACAATTCTACCTCCCAGGAGGTTGGAGAGGATAAAATCATTAATGTTTGTGTGGTGCTCTGGCATCATGGTGATGGGAGGGGGGCCATAGAAAAGACTTCTAAAAAACCATGTCTTTAACCCTGGTATGGACTGAGGCTAAAAGTAGTTCCCTAACATGGCTGTAGCATGTTTATTCCTGACTGCACAGGTAATAAAGAGTGGCCTACAACCCTGGCTTTGTTTATAGTGCAGCCAGGTCCTTTAAGGAGCATGACAGTGAATGCATGAATGACCAGGCTGCAAAAGAATCTTTAAAAGTCTGCAGAAAAATCAGGAAAATTCCCCATGATTTTCTGCAAACATCCACCAATCTGTTCTGTTTTTGCATCCCGTTTCCCACTGCCACCGTGTCCCCCTGCTCAAGCACCCTTGAGTCAAACACTTTCCTCCAGCTGTAAGGCAGGTGAATGAGTGGGCGGCTCCATGGCTGCTATGAAAACATCTGGCAGGGGGCAAGGACGGGGACAGCATCAATCAGTGATGCTCCCTTCCGCCATCACCTGTGCCCAGCCTGGAGGGAGAAAAGAAGTTTTTCCGGTGAACTGGACTTCACAACAGTTTTAGGGCCTGGGGTCTTGTCTCACTTACAGCATTTTTTATCGCAGTATAACTCTGCTGGCTTCATTGGGACTGCTCCTGATTTACAACAGTGCAAATGAGAAGATAATCAAGTTCTAAATATTCAGGAGCAGATTTCTCTCTTTTTTGTAAAAACCCGCAGGGTAAAGAGTCTGCATTCCCTAAGGAAGTGAAGTCATTGCCCTGTAGTTGAAAGGGGGTGGAGGGAGGGAGGTGCAGTTATGTGCCGTGAGGACAAACTTTTTCCTAAGCGGAACTCCACTCGCATTAGTAAGTAGGTGTTGAAGGCTGTTACTTTTCACACTAAGGAAGGGCAGAAAATGGTGTTATGTGCCACAAGGGCCCTCCTGGCTAGAGGCTGAGCAGTGCTTTGTAAGCCAGGGTATTGCCTGCTGAGGAATTTCAAGATTAACTAGGATTTTGGCTCATATTTGCTTATGAAAATTTCACTCCACATCAAATCTAATTCTGAGAGCTGCCAAAAAAAAACCCTAAAGCCAGGACGAGGGAGAAAAATGGACAAGGAAATCTCAAGAAGGCTAAAAACAGAACAGAAATGGGAGCCTATGGCCTCTTCCCTTTACTACAAGGGAATGTAGTGCAGAAGACAGGGAGGCAGATGATGTTTTATTTACTGTAGGGTCACTAGAGCAACTCAAGTTCTGGCTCAGCCTCTTTTAGGAGCCCCCTCCCCCACAACTGTATTTTATTGTATAATTTTTTCCATTTTGGGGTGGGGTGGGGGGAGCAATGGTTGAAAATTGAGACGTTTGGAACCGAAAGCCATAGGCAAGGGCTGACTCTCCGTTGCCCTGCACCTTGTACAATCATTTACCCCAGTGCAAATTGAGTGTAAAACACTCCTGGATCAGACAGGCAGCAATGTGCACCCACTTTGCACTGGCATGAATGACACACAAGGTGCGCAGCAGCGTAGTGCAGCTTCAAGCGTAACTGCCTTCCACGG